CGCAGGCGTGCGCTGGCAACGCCACGGCTGCCGTTGGGTGTGCACCGCACGCTGCTGAGCGTTGCGGGCACGCTGACTGGCGTGCTGGGCGAACTGGAGTGCTACTGTCCTCGCCCGCACGCTGCCTGTGCGCAGACAGCCTGATGACGGATCGATCTTTTGTCTATACTGGGTTGCGAATAAACGACGCGCTGAGGCCTTCGTTTATCCCCGATAGATGTATCTAGCAGACGCACTGCGGCCTTCTCCTAGACACCGTGACTTCAAGACGCACTATTGGCCTTCTCTCCGACACTGCATGTAAAGACGCACTAATGGCCTTCTTTATCACACGTTAAGAATATAAAGTTCCCCCTCAAGATTGGCTCACCAATTCAATACTCTATTCAAATTGTAAAATATGATGAGGTACATGGGGTATTTATAGATACCAACTATCTTTAGATCTAATCTTACTAGGAAACTAATAAAACAATTAAATATTAAATCCTAAGTCTAGAAAGCAATAAAATCCTAAAGCTACCAAAATACTAATGCTGGGCTTGCACACCAAGCAAATCTAGAAGCTCCCTAATTAAACACATGCTAAAACCTCCTCACGCCCAAACTCCTTCGGCCGCTTCTTACGCGTCGCGCGCGTGCCACCTGCGCGCGCCGCCTCGCCATTCCTACTCCTCGTTGCGCGCGGTAACCCGCGCGCTTACCCCCCATGCGGCGTCCTTTGCGCGCGCGCGCCATCCGCCGACTCCACCATGCGCGTGTGTGCCCAGCGCCCTAGCGTCGCCTAATCCTCCCATGTCTAGGGCACCACCCGCGTCATCCCACTCGCGTGCTTCCGCGCACGCCCCGCACCTGCCGATCTTTTCGCGCGCGTTGTGTCGCGCGCCCGCGCCCGTGCATGCGCGCCCTTGGCGCCTGATCCTTTCCCCGCATGAACCCCGCACGTCCCCGTTACCATCCCAGCCCAGACCGCCTACGGCGTTCCCGCGTTCGCCCGCGCACCCGTCCATCTTGCGCCCGCGTTCTCCCCGCCAAACCCGCGTGCGCGGCCTGTTTGCCCACTCGTGCGCATCAAGTGCCGACGCGCACCTTTTGCCTTTTCGCTCCTTACTAGACTTGCCGGACTCCAAAGCCACTTCCGTATCACAGCCGCACGCCGCTGCACTGGCGCGCGCTGTCTGGCACACTGGGCACTTGGCCGAGGCGCTGCTGCCGCTGTGTGCGGCAGCGCGGCCACGGTCGACTCCTTGCCGACTGTCCGGCGAACTCGATCGACCAACTGACCTAACTGAACACGTT